AGAGAGAGAGAGAGAGAGAGAGAGAGAGAGAGAGAGAGAGAGAGAGATGAAAATCACACCGGCTAGAAACAAATGAATCGTGAAGTTGTTGAATGTACCTGCCAACAGAACACCGACCATGTTTCGTATCTGAAAATTTACATTTAATATCCGACATTCAACGACTAAAAACAAATGAATCGTAAAATTATTGAATGTACCTGTCGATAAAAGAATGCTCTACACCTGAATTCAATGTTCCAAAAGTCGAAATGGGCGAGAGTTTTCTCATAATTAAACCGGGTAGCTAATGTCATTCCTGGTTGAACAGTTATGCTATCCATTCGTCGAAGACAAAATCTTGGATGAAGCTAATGAAAACAAATTGTTTGTTATTTAAAAGGAAGAAAATGCAGAATTTTTGTCATTCTTCATGAAAAGGTTACCGTTTTTTGCTCTTTTGAAACTTTCATAAATGTTCGAAAGTCGTGAACTCCTTCCATCTGTTTTGCGGTGTCTTTCACTCGTTCAATGTCAAATCCCTCGTTTCTACAATTAGAGCACACCAAATTGAAAGAAAAATAACATTGATCGTAACACAAAAGAAGAAAATCGAGTAAACAAACACAAATGTACAAACAATAAGAAATAGCATCTGAAGCTCTCTTCAATCGGAATAAACATAGAACTGTGATAGATTTTCGGGTTCATTCCTTTCGGGACTGGCTCTTTGCAAACGGCAAAACGATACAAATATGTTCGACATGTAGCTACGCGCCGTGAATCAAACTCACTGCTAACGGGAACGGTTTTCAAGATTCGTATTTGTTCGCGCAATGCGCTCAACTTAAGATTTAATTTTTTGGTGATGACCCATGGTGGGAGTGGCAAATCACGATTGACATCGATGTGAAATGTTGTATTGGTTGCATGCACACCAGCATCAGTCCTATTCAATGAAATTGCATTTTCAGAGGTGAAGTGAATGTTGAGAATATCCATTACCTGCTCGATGGGCATATTTCTACATTGTGTACATTCTTAATTTTTTCAAAAGCTTGCCTCAACGCACATTCAATCGAATAATGATCCTTAATATTCACATTCTTTGTGACGCCACTGCAAAAGTATTGGATGATTTTTTTAAAACAAATTCTTAAAGTTTCGATTGCAAAAATCTATGTCTTACTTGTATTTCGTTCCGATATACGCAATATTTAGTAAATATCTTTGCATTTTGATTGCATTGGCCGGCAATGCAATTCTGACTATTTCTATACGGTTTACCAAAAATATTCTTTATGGTTATGTTCAAATTCAAACTAATGTTGTGACATTTCCCACTTTGTGTGTCTGTTCGATCCACTTGAAGTTGCCGCCTATGTCGAAATCAATGTGAAACGTCAATTTTTGTACACACTGTTTTTGATTATATTTATATGTATTTCCAAATACGACATTCGAATTCCAAAGATAACAATTATACTCTTTTATTATATTAAGTTGAACGTTCACATTTGTTTTCGGTTATTTTGTTTTTCTGTACAGATTTCACGGGTACAGGTGAAAAAAACGCATTAGAAATGAGGAGAAAAACTAGCTTAGTGTGTGATTTTATTGTGACTGACATAAATCTCGTCGTCTATCGATCATTTGTGATAGAGACGACCGAGAAACAGCGATTTAACTAGGAAGAAAAGAAACTACGGAATTCATTGTGAATATCATCATCACGGAAAACGGGCGAAACGATAATTGTCAAAATTTTCGTAAACGTGAATGTAAACATGGATTCATCCAATAATACGGACACAGGTGACACCGAGGCTCGGGTGACACAGGCTCGATAGGTGTGAATTCAACAATTGCGCATATATTCCACCGCGAATCTCAGTGGTAAAAATACATTTCTTTGCACTGTCGAAATCATGAAAATAATTACTTGACATTTCTAACCAAAAAAAATCATACAGATTAGTACGGCTGTGTCATTTCTGCAAAATCCGAATGTTGCACGAAATTCACTGGTGCAAATGGAGAAATTCCTACGTTCGAAAGGTCTTGGCGATGAAGATGAAGGAAAGCGATGAAGAGATTCAATTGGCCTTTCAACAAGCTGGCATTTTTACCAAAACGATTTTTTTCTCCCAATTTTGGAAATAATCAAAATCTTCTTCCAAAGTTCAAACAACGAAAAGAAGCTGAAATTCCAACTTATAGATTTCAGCAGAATTTCACGCCAAATCAAAAATCTTGTTAAATTCATTCACTTTGTAATGAAGAAATTGCCATTTTGGATTTAATGTAATAGTTAAAGTTCATCAATAAATCTTAGAAAAATTAAAAACCATTCACGGCATTCGATGGATTTTTTTCTAATCTCCAAAATCGTTTTTCGGTCCATTTGAATGTAATTTATCAGAAACGGTTTTTCTGTGCTTTTTTCAATACGTTTTTCCTTTCATGATTCGATTGAATCAAATTGTTAACTATAAACCAACGTGCTACCATCGAATTCGATGTGATTCCGTTTATTTTTCAATTAGGATTAATGTGATTGGAAACGGGTCCATAATATAATCAAGGGGGCGAACGTGAAAATTGAATCGAATCTGCGATTATGTCGATTATTGTGATGGTGAGTGGGAACGTTTAATTGAATTAATGAGTTGTGAAATTGAAGTAAACGGACTATGGCGACTTGACAGTGTGTACTTCAATTTCGCCCCGTGTACACATTCTGGCAAGGTATTTTACTACATAAATAAATTACCGTCATCTTGAGCGTGTGGCGCAATTTGCACATTTATTTGGATTGTACGTGTTTTGTGTTCCGTTGTATGTTTGATTTGATGTGTGAAAGGAAGAGCGAAAGAGGGAGTAAGTGAGAGAGAAAGATAGAAAAGATAGAGCAATAGAGTAGGTGGACTCTTGCGAGGTGGCAAAGATGTGAAGAAAAATTGAAAGAAATCGATTAAATTTACGAGGCAAAAGAGATGACCATGAAACCGTAAAACCGAAAATAATACAGCGGGTTTATGTCGATAAATGGCTGGAGAAGCGATGACATAACAACAGTTCGAGTGAGTTTGCATTATGCGATTGGTGAAGCGCGCGAGAGAGTGTATAAAATAAAAGGATGATAATGCACAATATTTCGCTCACACCGTGTATAGATGTGCAAGTCGGAGATGTGCCATTGCATTGTCAAGTGGCTATTTCATTCTCGTAAAATATATATATATATATGTATATGTACATATGAGAAAATGATTGTGTGCACAAAACGGAGGCAAACACATTTGTTCATTTCCCCATAGCGGAAAATGTCTACACTCTACATACAAAGCGCGAAACCCAAATATGCGAAAAATGGCAATACATCGATGTGAGAAAAAGAGAAAAGCTTTTGGGGTACAAAGCTTGCCTTTGTTTGCAATGCTGGTCGTCGTCGTTGTTGTCCCGTTTCAGTGTGCGAGAGACAGAGAGATATGCGCAAAGGGACGAGCGCGCACACGGCACAGGCACAACGATATTAAACTTAACCCATGTCATGAAATCGGCCAATATCCAAGCACTGACACTCAATTGCCTATTGCGCTGTTTTGATGCCGATGTTCGTCGACGTCGTCGTCGGTCGTTGGTGTTGCTGTTGCTGTTCTTGTGGTTTTTATTGTTGTTGTTGACGCTTAACATGCTCGAATGTGTCGTGTGCTTTTGCCCAGGTATATTACGATATATAGCACAATCCACACCATTTCTTCTCACTCTCTCACACTCAATGAACCTTGCGTTGCATCTCTCTACCCGATTCATCATCATCATCGTAGTCGTCGTCGTTGTCGTTGTCGTTGTCGTCGCACATCTATTCAATACACCGAAATATTTGGAATCGGGTAGCATAGCTACCACACCACACATCACACATAAACATTGGGAGCGAGTGAGAGCAAACCGAATTTATATACACATCCAAATTCGAATACACGTCGCAGACGAAAAACTTGATCCAAACGATTGACTATCCGTTTTAAATTACACTTTTTTTTCGAAGTGAAAAGTAGAACAAAAATAATGGTGTTTCGACGACGACGAGACGACACAAAACGCCATTCGCAATTTAAGAATTTGATTCAAGTTTGTTTGTTGTGTTCGGGGTGGTTATCGTTTTTTCATCCTTGTTGAAAGTTCGTTGTTGTTTTCTTCTTCTTCTTCTTTCTTTTCTCCACGTTCGGTTGTTGATTTTCTTGTTTGCAAATGCGGAAGAGACAAACATTCAATATTTATGCGATGCATTTGAAATCAACGTGTAGTTTGTGTGTCTCATGAGCTCGCACAAAAATCAATTTTCCATCATCAACAGCCAGAGAGCGAGGGAGAGCGAGAGGGAGCGAGAGAGAGAAGAGCTTTTTCATCCCATGTTTGTCGTTATTGTTTACGTTTATCTGCCAGTCTGCGAATCATCTTCAACCTGAGCTGAACAGTGTTGATCTCTGTGTGCGTGTTTGTGTGTGTTGTGTTTTTTTTTTTCATTCCTGCTTTGCTTGCGAAGGCGAATATTCCGAAATTTTGGTCTTCGATTTTGTTTTGAACTCTAGTTGGTTTGTTGTCTTAAAACCAACAAAAAAATGCTGTTCAACACAATAAATAGCCAATTCTCGTATAAATCCAGTTATACCAGCGTTCACACTAGAAACATAGAACATTACTTTTTCGTGAAATAGTTGAACGATTACAAAAACAAAACAGAGGGAGAAAAAAATCAAAAAGGAAACAATTAAATTTGATGTGTTTTTCATGCAACAACATCATTTGTGTTGTAATAGTTCAATGGACGGTCATCGAATTACACAATCTGATTATATCTCGCTTCACGACGCTCATGATACAAAAATGTGCAACTTAAAGGATCCACAACAAAAAAAACAATAACAAAACATACGGAATATATTTAAAAAAAAAACGTAAACGAACGAATTTTTTTTCTCGGTGCTTTCCAATTGTATGTGTGATAAATAAAAAAAAGCAAAAATAATAAACAACATTTCAAGTGTTCGAATAAACGACAACAATAACAGCAATAAAAAAAATTGTTGATTTTTCCGTTGAAAAAAAAACAGTTGTCGAATTGTTTTAATTATCTCTCACTTGATGAAATAATGGAAATTTTCGCAACAAAAAAGCAGAGCATTTAAATCCACCAAATGATGTCCAATTAATGCGAGATTAAAATTAAGCAAGGCGCAAGAAATTGATTTTCGATTGTTTTGCTTCTTTCATTTGGTCGTCTTCGTCTGCTCTGACGGAAGAATCGGAAAATAGAGAGAATAAACTATGCATGGCATACATATATATAGACACACTCTGCATGCCTTTACTCTTCATAGACATTCCGTTGAATAATTGAAGCAACTCGTTTCGGTCAAGCGAAAATGATGAACTCTCCGATGCATAAATATTAAACGAGTACACAAGAGCACGTCACGAACGCAACACTTGAAACACATCAAGACAGAGAAACATTTGAGAAAGAAAAAGAGCGAGAGAGAGAGAGAGAGGAAAAGAGTGACAAAGGAACCGACTCAGTTCTAACAAAAACAAAATTGGGATGCATTTTTGGATCGATAAACGATCACAAGCATGTGGTTTTGGACGGGCTAGAGCTGGATTGTGAGTAAAATTGACACACCGCACACATTTGGTGTGGATACTAAATACACACCAAATTTTCTAATGCCTATATAACTTTGTTTTGGGTCAGTATGGCCGCTTCTTTATCGGGCAGTGGATACGATTTTTATCATCCACCACGACGGAATAAATCAATGCTAACACCAGTTCACCGATTTCCAAATGTCGATTGCCGCAACGTAAATCGACCAAACGTTCATCGACCGAATGTTCATCGCTCGAACCATCATCAGGGTGAGTGCTTTATTGCCTAATTGGAAACAATAGACAAGGGTTATTCATTAAACTTTAATACTTACAAATTGAAATGGTACAACTTTGTTGAGTCTTTTATTTTTTCTTGTTTTCATTCGTGACAAATGGAATCAAGGAGAAACTGACACTTTGCAACGAAAAAAAAAACATTTAAAAAGAAAATGGGACCTTTTTGAATGGGGAGACGTCTTTTTAAATTTCCAAGCATAGAAAAGTTTCGGAAAAATTTTAATTGTCAAACTATTTCAATGATTAAAAGAATAAATTCAAGTTCTTCAAAGAATCAAATGGAAAAAATAAAATCTCAACTTTGTTAGTAACAAAAATAAAATAAAAAATTGTTCTCTTCCAACCTTTTTCTTTGATGAAAAAAGAGCATCACCAGCATCATACATCTCGAGCACATCATGAAATCCAGACACATGCCGAGGTCAATACACAACACTCTTACGGTGAACCAGCCGACTATTCCGTTATACAGCAATAGTAAGGAAACGTTGAAGCATTCTCTATGTGAATTCACATGCAACTTTTTAAATCCATTTCTTTCTTATTATGTTATTAATTCTCTCTCTATTTATTTTTTTCTCTTTATCCCCTTTTTTCCTTTTTTTACTCTTTTCTTCGAAATTAATGAAAAAAAAATTGTTCCCAAAATAAATTAAATCAACTGTAGTCAATCACATTTGCCAATTGAATTGGAGCAAGGGACATTAGGTTTGAATGCAATTCGGCCGTCAAACGAGATTTTGACTGATGATCGGGCAACGTTATCGGTAAATGTAGCGGATGCCGTGAATTCAACCGATTCTCAAATACTGCCCAGTCATTTGAAGTGTGGTATGTGGGCATCGTTGGCGTTGGCAACCGTTTTTCTCGCAGGTTTGTCTGATTTCTACCCATTTATTTTTGATCTTAGGATTTTTTCTTGAGTTTTTTTTTTGGATTAAATCTGGATCCACGAGGTTGGAGTTTAATTCATTTTTGTCTGTTTCACCTTAAACTGAACCTAACGCCTGTTTCCTTCTCTCGAATCACATTCTAGCATTCCAAGGTAGTGGTTTGGAGATATTAATCTTTTGCGCATTTTCGGCAACATTTTTCGTGGCAGCGTGTACCGTTAGCTTGTGTCGCCGGCCAAACAACAATAGCTTCAACTTGAACATACCCGCACCGCAGCTTAGCGCTGTCACAACAAATGTAAACGATATTGAAATCGCCCATCTGGATCAGCATGAACCACACGTAAAAATCTCCCATTTTTAATTTTGAAAATAAAAAAACTCTCTTTGTTTGTCTTTCTTGCTCTGCGTAGCCTTTTCGTCTTCGATACTACCTGTTCTTTTGTACTCATCTGTGGATTTTCAGTTTGGTCGCGGTCACTCATGATACCTTCGCTCTTTTTCAGGTTCCGAATGTAATTGATCCAATAGCACCACCTCCGCCATATCATATCGCCATTTTGAATGATAACCCAAAGATCGACGACTCCCCACCGCCCTCCTACGACAAACTTATCATATAAACAGAAACAGAAACATTCGCTTAAACAAATCTCTTCCGTTCATCGTTTTATTGTGCTATCACTTCCAATATAACCCTTGATCTCTTTATCATCAACAATACGACGCATAAAATTATTTAGGAAAAAATGAAGAAAAAAATACGGACAATTTGAATAAATCGTTTGGCACTACTGATTAGAAAGAAACCAAAAAATCCAAACTTGTCTACTATTCTGTCAGTAGAGTTCAAAATTTGCACAAGAAAAAGGGAAACATTTTAACAAAAACAATGTAAAGCATACACTAAAAAAAACTACCTAATTTATTTTTTAAACGTGTGTTTTATGCATGCCCAGTTCGGAAAAATTATTGGCCATTTTAGAGCTAAACAACTACTATGAACTATGAATAAAAAAAAAAAAAACAAAAAGAAAAAATATTGAAATCACAAATGATTGCGTTTTTTATTGGGCGATTTTTTTTCTGCTTCCGACGAGGAAAACAACCAACGAATGAAAATTAAACGAGGGAAATTGGCTACAACGACTCATTCTTTCAAAATTGGAATAATTTCACTCATCGATTGGATTTTGAAATAGTTGCCATTCAATCGAACTATGGATATGATATGATATGAAGGTAAGCAGTATGTTGTAAGCAAGTTTGAATTGAGATTTGATTTTTTGACTCTTAGAATTTAAATCAAATGATCCTTCAGCCATTTGGGAGTGAATCTTAAGCCACCACCAAAGAATGATAGATACAACTCGAAGATTTTATATTTATATCTTTGGATGTTGTAATTGACATCTTGTCAATAGAATCTTTACCTTTGACAAGTGACAACATCCACCATCGTTTATCATTGAAATTTTAAATTTAAACGGCCTTCACATGACCCGAATGAAGATGAGTAAATGAGATTTTAACTATGTGAACGTGTGAAAAAAAATTCAAAACAAAGATTGAATTTCAGATTTTTAACCACCGCTGTGTCTTGAGCGATTTTTGGTCAGTTTTAGAGATTACAGCTACTCCCTTTTTCTCCATACAAAATCAAGGGATACTCATGTGCATTTGAATGGATTGGATTGGATTGGATTGGAAGGGATTAGATTGATTTAAGAAAAAATAATATTGGAATCGTTGGAATAAGCTCGAATTGAATGGAAATGAGTCGGCTCGGATTAGGCTGAAATAGTTTGAATTGAAACTGGTGACTTGAGAAATTATGGAAATAACTGAGATCTCCACCAAAAATATAAAAATATTGCTCAACGGGAAAGCTCTGCATTCTTATTCAAGCCCACAAATATATCTAAGATAAAAGTCATTGATTCAATGCTAATCGATTCGTTGGATGCTGTAGAAAACTTCTGTACATTCTAAGCAATGATAAAAAAAAACTTGTTGCATTAGACGGAAGGTGACAAAACCAGAATTAAAAGTTCCAACAATAACAACAACAAAATACTCCTGAACAAATGCACCTCAACAACTTGCCATTCATAAAAATGTGCCAAGTTGGTGTGTTATTTGTTGCTGCCGGAATCGACATATTTTCACTGCCCATGGATAAAAAGTCATAACTAGACGAATGCATACGCATATGTTTTGGCAAAGAGAGCGGAAAAAAACAGCACTGAAAATGTCAAGAGAAATAAATTGCTTAGTTGGTCGAATTGAAGGTGAGCGTCTGAAAAGTTTACGAATGCGACATAAACAATAAACAATATGACCGCTATATAAAATGGGACAATCGGCCAACTGTCAACCATTGAGTAATTCAGTGTTCAAGTGACAATTTAGCTGTTCAATTGTTCAAAGCCCCGAATTTTCACCGTATTTCTCTCTTTCTCAGTTAGCGTTTTGCCAGCAAACGATCCGCACATACTTCAAAATGAATAAAATCAGTTTAGCGTTGTGTTTCACCGTTGTTATCATTTCGGTGTTCGGCAGTGAGGCGAGTCCAGTGATGCGGACTGATGATCAAAAGTGTAAGGATTTATGTACATTATGTAATTGTGTTGGTTTTTATTGTGGTGATGAATGCATTTGCGAATGTAATAATAAAGATGATGAAAGTGAGTTTTTCATGGTGCAAGATATTTAACGTTCGACCATTTTTATTTTGTCCATTCTATTCAAAAAAAAAACTAGATGTGAATTGCGTTGAGGCGATGCAGAAGAAATGTGAAAAATTGCATGTTCCATATGAGGTGTTGATTCAAGGACCAGCTGGAAGCCGTTTCGTTCGTAGCTTGTTGACCGAAGACTCAATCGCCCTGAAAGCAACCAATCCAAAGAAACGCTCCTCCGTTAGCATCTTCAAACCGGATGAAAATAAGGACAACAAAGAAGTCACACCAGAAGAGAGTGCACCTGCTGCTGACGCCGATAAAGCTAAAGAAACCGAAGTGTTCGCTGGAACTGATGTTGCTAAGAAAGACGTGAAAGTCACCGAAGAAATAAAGATTGTCGATGAAGTCAAGGCTGATGAAATGACACCAAAAGCAGATGAGAAGACAAAGCGTGAGGTCGACAACAAAGAAGATGGAAAGAGCAGCGACAGTGAACAAGCCAAAGATGAAGCAGCTGAAGAGCCGAAGATCGGTGAATCAATTGAAACGCCAAAGGAAGCCGAATCAGCTGACAAACCAAAAGACAAAGAAGCAACCGAAGCAGCCAGCGGAGCTGAAATGGACAATGCCGAGAAGAAATTGAAGAAACGCGATGCCGAAACTTCTGAAATCCAAGAAGCTCTGGATGAAGCCACCAAGGAAAGCGGAGCAGATGCAGTCAATTCCAACGGTGACACCAAGGCAGACACTGATGTTGCACCAACGACAGAGCCATCAGTCGGTCTCGCTTTGCCAATTGTTCCACCAATTCTGGGCTTGTTGCCTTTGCAATTGGGCGCACTTAACTTGGACGTACTGAAGACCAACATGAAATTGGGAAAAGGTGAGTTTGCATCTAAATTTTTTTGTGTTTTCATTTCATCAACGTACGCAGCATATTCACTATCGCTTGAAAGTTCAACATTCTAATGCAATTTTTTCCATTTTTTTTTCCTCTTTAAAAGGTGTTTTGATCGACGCAAAACTTGCCCCATTGAGAGCAAAAATCGCAGCGATCGGTGCTCATACTAAAGCTAAGCTAGCACTTTTGGTAAGAAATACCTAATTTTCATTCACATTTCACTTTTTACTAATCATCTTGTTTTAATTTCGTTTATTTCACAGCCACTCGCAAAACTTCCACTTATTTAAATCAATCCAAAATAAGACTCTATTGTTCGAATTTGTTTTTGTTATTTATTTATTTATTATTTTTCGTTCAAATGAATTGTTCCGTTAGAGTCGTACAGTTAGCTATGCTGTAAGAATTCAGTTGTTCACTTTATCCAAAATGTTTAAAACTTAAGTAGGCATGAACAATGAATAAAACAAAAAAATACATCGAGAAAAAAATCGAACGCCCTTTTCATTTCATCTTTTATTCTTTTACAGCTGTTGAATTCCGTTCATTTTCTTTGCTTTTCTTTTTCTTCCACAGCTGTTGAAGTAGTCGTTCTTTTGAAGTTGTTTTTCTTCTTTCTATTGTTCTGAAAAAGTTCAAATCAAATCATTACAAATTTGATTTCTTTCAAATAAGGCAACGCTGTTGAAATGAAAAAAAAAACTCTTCATTTTAAATGAACTCTACTTTAGCTTTGACAAATTTCCACAAAATTGACCGTTCAATCACAAGCTATAGTAGCGCTGAAGTTATTCGACAGGTCGAACAAGAATACAAAACCAGTCAAAGTGGAACTGAACCAATGGTAATGCAACAATTGTATCGTTCATGTCAAATTATCAATCAAGAAATCAAATTTATTAAGAAGATAATGACTGAAATTGAGAATATTGTTGAAAGAAGTAATTTTGGTTTGATTCTTGTGTGCCGAAGTGAAATCGTTGATCATGCTCAAAAATTCACTTCTTCCAACTGCTAAACAGAATACTTCTTGAAATGCTCAACCAAAATGTTTCTTCAAAAAAAAAAATCCGTTATTTTTTTTCACTTCGTGCCACTTCTGACACGAATCAATCAATTTGACTTTATTCCATTAAAATTTAATACAAAAGAAAATAAGCCTAAGCGTTAAAGGTTCTTTTAACCGTTTCATAATCGCGTACATCGATGACTCGCAATTGTTTTTGTTTGTTGTCACCACCAACGGCCAGTGTGAATCCATTATCGGGAGAAATGTCTGCACATTGAATGCGACCGATGCCAACTTCATTTTCATGGATTAATGACGGTGTACTGGTGGCATCGTATTTCCATACCTTGAGAACCCCATCAGCTGATGTCGTAGTGACCATACCGGTTTGCATATAATTCACTATAATACCGCTGACCTCGTCACTGTGTGCTTGGACATTCCACAGACTGTTGCCCTCTTGGCGCACATCACAATAGTGAATGAATCCATTGTTCAAGCCAACAAAATAGTAGTTCGTATTGTGTGGATCCCAATAGACTCGTTCAACTTCGGCTCCAGTGAATGACCATTGCTTGAAGCTTGTGTCCACTTCACTCGGATCACGACAGTCAAACAATTTGACTGTTCCATCACAGCAGCCAGTCAACAATTGGCTTGGTTCAGTTGGATGGAATTTCAGTGATTGAACCTTTTCTTGGAATGCACGAATCGTTGTGTGCGGCTGAAGTTCGTCTAAATCCCAAAGTATTACTGTTTGATCGACCGAAGCACTCGCTAGAATATGTCTGAAAGATTTTGAAATGGGCAAATGAATATTTATACGAAAGAATATGTGGATCAATGAAAATTTTCAACTAAATCGAATTCAAAATTGGTGCTTCAATCTCGAACTTTGAATATAAAAATTTGTCAAGGTCAAATGGTGTACAAAATCAAATTTTGGTGTGGAAAAGTTTGAAGTTTCGCATATTTTCTAATTCACAAAAAATTTAAATCTACAAAAATTCCGTCTTCTCCAAAGAAAAAAAAAACTCACTGAAAATTTTTATTCCACGACAAATCCAATACAGCGTCTGTATGTCCGAATTTCTCAATTCCCTTCTTTCGTTTGCCTTTCGAACCCAATTTAACAGCCGGTTCCAGTGTGTCTTGAATGTCCAAATCCCAAATTGTGACAATTGGATCGATGCAACCGATGGCACACATATTGCCTGTATCTTTGCTTTCCGGGTCATAATTCAGCCATTCGATACAAAGTGGAAAGCTTGGCAACAAAAAGTCATGATGCACATAGAAACTGTTCTCTTCTTCATTGTACACATACACTTCCAGCGATGATGCATCATCATCGACGTGACCAACGAGAAGAAGATTGTCGGTTGGCTTGATTAAATCATCTTCAGCTTCCGAGTCTTCGCCGTCACTGATGTTTTCTTCATTGGGATCAATGACAGCTATATCACTCACGGCTGCCACTTGTGTTTCATCTAAAAACCAAGCGAAAATCTATTAAAATCTCCCAAAAAAAACACTCTCGTATTCCTTCAACAACCTTCATTATCATAGTCTGCAAAATTGAACTCGTCATCTGGGTTGCGTGGCTGTGATTCAACCGCATCGGATGTGTCCATATTCTCATCATTCTCCTCGTTATCGTCATCATCATTTTCTTCGTCGCTACATGGAAGAAAAAAACACAATTAATCTCACTCATTCCAATATGTTTTCCAAATGTGAAAACTTACTCCAATTCTTTTTTCGTCGACGAAATTACTTTGGCCAACTCTTCTCGCGTTAGAGTCACCTGAAATTTGGAGAAAATTTCGAAGTAAAAAAAAAATGGTGCTCACATCAAAAACTGATGTAAACAAACCTTGTCTGGATTTTCTTTGGCCACACCGCGTTTCACGAACGATAGGCATGGAATAAAATTCACCACCGATGGATCTTGCTCGATTTGATCTTCTTCTTCCATTGTGAGGTTTTCTTCTTCTTAAATTCAAAATTGCACTGTGAATCAAAATAAATGCCAAATTAAAACGAAACCTGCTTAGCCGCTTCGATATTGTGCTGCTGAGCACGTGGTAACAAACGAACGAAATGTGTACACAATTATTTGACAGATGAAAATGACTGAGCCCAGATCTGTATTACCGATTTTCCGTAGTCAACAAAGGTAACGAAGCAATCACATGACTGAAGACAAGGAAACCCAAACATTTGAATTGTTGTGAATTTCATGCGGATTTCTTTTTATTATTATTTAGTAATGGTATTTCTTAGAAGATGCTTATTATTATTATAAGACAGAACAATGGATTAGTGATGTGATTTGGGACTATTCTTAGTATTAATATCGCTGTTTGATTCCTTATTACAAATTGTACATTCAATGTGCTATTTCGATGCTTGTAATCCGATTCATATTTTCGTGTCTTTGCCATTTGCCTACATTTTTTCGTATGTTTCAACAAAATCGCAGATGGTGCAAGCGTGCGTGTAGTTGTCTTCATCCTCGTGATATGTTTCCTCGCCGTATTCGTGAGTGTGTGGCGCTTTTGTGGTACGATCATACAAACTGCTACGCATTTCCATTCGCAATTGCTTCATATTTTTATTGTACTTTTTCAGCTTGGTCTTTTCGCGTTTTTCGTCACGCAATTCACGCTCTTCCATGAGACGATCTTCCGAACCCCTGGAGAGAAAGAATGAAATTTGAATTGTTGAAAAGCAATTTTACAAGGGTCAATTTCATAGATACGATTTCACAAATACTATGTCATGTTATTAAATTTGATAAATTCAATTCGACAACCAAATCAGCCGAGAATAATACAAAAACTGATTAAATGTTGAATTCAAACTCAATAATTGTGAATGGCTGAATGAGAAAGAAGAATGAGGAACAAGATTTAAACCAAAAATAAACTCAATCCAACTGAAAACAACTAATCGAATGTGAATTTCGCAATTGATTGCAATCGAAAAAGAATTGCAACTGTAATATGTTGATCCACAAAAAATTCTACTCTAAAACGTACCAAACTTCAAGAGCTCGTTTTTCGACCAGCAAATGTAGATACAATTTCATCTCGCCCCAGCGCACATTGTGCGGATTTTTGCGAACGATGCACTTAAGTGGCGGTTCACGTTTATCGAAATCGCAATCTTTGAGCAAATATTCATTCTTTGCTTCGGTTCGTGTAATGAGAGAGTGTTTTTCGTCTGGGTCACGACACTTGTCACACACCGAATATTCGAAATTCTTCAGCAGATACGATTCGATAAATTGATCGTTGCATTCCAGACACGATTCATATTGAACAGGGATTGGAAGGACTTCTTCCACAACCTCTGGTTTTTCAAGGCATTCGGGTGTCTCATTCACCACTTCTTTTTCGATTAGAAAACCACCGCCACTGTCAATCAATTTCGTGGTACGCGTTACGCTATTTTATCAGGCAAAATGAAATCAATTAGTTGAAATACTAAAATATGGTTTGGATTTAATTTTTTATCCTACCTCTTCGTTGGTGCTTCCTTCTTTGATTGTTCGCCACTTTCATTGGCTTGTTGTCGAGCGTACGGATGATTACAAAGTTTCGACGACCTAATATTCCGTGCTCTTTCACGATTGCGTGCAATTCGAGCAAGCTCGGCTTCACTTAATGTCGACATTTTTGTTTCTAAACCTTTTACCTGAAATTTGCTATTTGAAATGCCAGAGGTGAAATATAAACTACTATTGTTTTGATGGACAGAAGCGAAATTGTTTGATACTTTGGCGCAATCGATGACACTTTGCATGATTCGGCATTGCAGATTTGACAGTTGCTCAGTTTTATGGATGAACTTGAGAGACACTCGCAATAGCGCGATTTCTGAATTAAGTATTATTTTGCACAGGCGCGACATGTATGAATCGAATTTGAATTTTTTTTTTTCATTCAATTATTTTTTTTGAATCAAGTTCTTCTTTTTGTAAAATAATAATGACAAAATGTATACAAAATTTATAACAATTAGATACACATCGATCAAACGATTTATCTGAAAGGTGTTCCAGACCATGGACTTACATAGAACCGTGTAGTAATTGCGATATCGATTACAACAATTTCGAAAAACTGCTCGGAAATGGAAACACTCAAATCTTGGTCAAAAAACGTATTTTCCACAAATTAAATTTTTTTCTAATGAAGAATGGATCCACTTTAAGGTGTTTTATTTAAAATTTAATCGTAGATTGAAAAAATCTTTCCAAGAATGGATTCAATAAATTGTAGAATTGTCTGTTTTCGAATATGTCTTCGTTCGATATCGAGATGAGTTATGAAAATTGGTGCAAAATTGATAACATCAAGACCACAACCATCCTTTCTCTATTGATGTTGGGTTCCATAAAATTGTAGATAAAATGTAGAATTCAAATCAGTCATCCGATTCTGGATGTTTGCAACAATTTATTTGGCTACAGGAGAGTTTATAATTCAATATGGGAATAATTCATTTAAGACTGCTATAAACTAAATTAATTAAATTAAAAGTTACATTTGTTAGAATGAGAAAAACAGCTGAATAAATTCGTATTTATTGCATGAATAATTCAAAAAAAAAACAATTCCAAATTCCAATCCTTCCGAAATGACGTCATAACATATATATAGCCAATTGTTCGCTTCGCACTAGAGTTTTAATTCCAGAAGTTTTTTCAATTCATTGTGATTCGCTAGGAGTTTTCCAAGTTTCTTCTGTACACATTTATGATGAGCCTACTGTTAGCGGTACGAGTTTTGAACAATACCATATTCATAACCAACCTCTCATTAAATACATTTAACTTTTTCAGACCCTCCCATTCGCTTTGTGTATGATATCGAAGAACCATTATAAGATAATGTATTTTGGTGTGAAATAAACAAAAAATATATAAAATTGCCAATCAATCGCATATGAATGCGAGCTAATATGAATAAAAAACCAAAAAAAAAACACGTGATATTTTGAATTTTTTTCCTCACAAGAAGAGATGATACTTTGATTTAATAAAAAATATTATGATTTGTTAATTGATCGATTGTCTGATATATTAAATATTCATTATCATTCCGAAAATAATCAACTTAAAAAAAAGTCAAGTGAAAGCATCAAATTTGAATGTGATAACACATTGAACTGGACTGTCTCACTGAAATCATCGGTTTGTTGATAACCAAGTCTTATTTATACAATTTTCTTCAATATAAATATTGAGATTTCATTTTGAATGAAATTTCATGTTTTGAACGGAGCTGTGCCAGTGATTGATCTTAAGTAAGGAATCATTGAAAAAAATTTCATTTAATTAATTTTCATCAAAATTTTCATCACAATAGATACTACTCAATATGAAAAGCTGCATAGTCATACTTGTTTCTCTATTCGGAGTTGGTATGTGTGATGCATGTTTCTACGGATTTACAGTCATTCAGTTTCTGTTTGACAAGAGCTTAACTACGCGCAAATTCAAATTCCAGTTCATATGATTGGAAACTATGATTATTCGATCGTGAGCCCAGTTGAAAATGTACGTTATACAACCGATGAGGATTTTCCGTGTGAAATAACGCTAACCAATGGAAGTGAACCAACAACGCAGTATCGCTCCAAAAGTGTGAACATGTGTGAATTTGCCGAAAGACGCAAAGATTCCGATTCATCGGTCAAATTATACGGAATAACATTCTTTGGTTTACATAATGTCGTTGCTATTGAATACGCCAATCCAAATGCTAAACGCAATTGAAGTAGAAAATAAAATGGGTAATTTTGGAAAGTGAAAACAGATTTTTGTTTTTTTTTAGATTATACCAATTTATTATGAGCAAAAAAGTAAACGAAAATTTGAATTGTCCACATTTCTAGACAGAAGTAAATGTAATTTCAATTCAAATGGTCAGATTCTCTACCAATCAACTTGAATATTCCCACCGACTGCGGTTTCATCGGCTGGTGTCTCGCTAGCTTCAACATCCACCAAAACTTAATTGTCGCCTGCGTTCCACAAGTGGCTGGTTCTCACAGTTCCCTTACCGTTTGCATCGACGCCAACATTGACATGAGACTTTGGCTGGTTTTATCACCGGTGCTAATACCAATACATTTTCTCTTGGTCAATTAATTGAAAAACCAAATTCTGTTATAATTTGTACGAAATTTCAAAAATTTTGTAAATTATAATCTGTAGAGAACAAAATCTACATAGGCCGATACGCAAGCTCGGTGATGGATACGCTATGAACAACGGTCAAAGAAATTTCATAAGTGCCATTAAAATCTAATCCTTATTCTGAACATTCACCGGTGAATCCATACTATGCCAATTTATGGCTTTGATTTTGAAATGCGCTGTATTGATTTTCGATTTGATCGAATTTACAGCAACGAAATTCTCTATAAAATGGACCGTGAATTTCGAAAGAGCATCTCAAGAGCCATCAGATTTTAACAAAAAAATTTTCATCAATTTCAAAACAAAAACGAAATTCATTTTGGTTTAAAAACAAGATATATTCTATCAATAAAAATGGTCTTATTTTCGTATTATGATAAGGGTGGTTTTGTTCGATTTTTCTCCATTCTTCCTCTTGTGGTTTAAGCGTCTCTTTAAAATTAGATTATTATGTTTTTCAAATAAATGCGGCACATTGAACGAAGGAGGTTATTCAATCGCGCGATTCATTTAAAGTTCGAGTTGCCGCAAGATCCATCATCATACACCGCATTGGAATAGGTTGATGTGACTCGAGGACATCCCATCCATCGCACCGCCGATGAATCGGGTCTACTTCGTGTCACATGCATTATTGAATCGTTAAATTGCCAAAATGATTTCCCTTTAAAGAAATACGTCTTCCCTATTGTACCATCAAAATGGTTTTCCAAAAATGAAGAGAAAAAAAAAACAGAGAAAACTCATGAATTTTATTCCTCTGCATAATGATCCAGTTTATCGATGGATTCACATGGCATGACTGAATCGATCGATATTCGAAATATTTTTTTATAATAAAATATATATATGTCTTCGGTTCAATCAAATTTACCGTCTTTATATTGAAAGGCTGCATCGATGTGATAACCAATACCTCGCCAAATTGACATATCACGTGGATAATCTGGTTCCATCTGATGAATATCTTCGTTGAATCTGTGAACAGAGAAGAAATAATTTTTTCTCATTTTTTCCGCGTTCATAGCTATTCTTTCGTTTCACTTTAGTCCATTTTCCAAAAATATTTATTTAAAAGATAAATTTTATTCATTCCATTATTTTTTCTGCCATGGCACGTTTCATCCATTTTCATTTCAGTTCTTTCAAATTCGCTTCCGAACACTTACGTTTTTATTTCAACCTTTTGCACCAATTTGTTGTCCTAGTGCCGACAAATTTACAATTCAATCAGATTATTTGCACTTTACCTCCAATACATGGTTCCACTGTAGAAATATGTTCGATCGTTGTGACCCCACACCAGAACTGCATCGATTTTATCTACTGATGCTGGCAACCCGAGAGAGGTTAATGCTTTAGGGTAACCATCCTCCAATTGAATTGAATTGAAAACGTAATACATTTTTCCTGATAAAATGATGCAGAGAGAGGGAAATAGAGAGAAAGAGAGAGAAATCACACACACAAATAAAATTTTCATTTTGGTAAAATTATGGAAAATGTGCTCACCAATGAAAAAAACAATTTTCTTGTGTTTATTCTCATAGACGGCATCGATGTGTGTGAAATTACTTGGCAATTGCGACCATATACGATTGATCTCATCCGGGTAACCGCTATGCAATCCATTTTCACCGATCCGCCACAAATACTGGGGAAAAATGGTAAATACAATAAACGGGTGTGATTGCACGTTAAGAATGCCAACACTTACACGATCTTTGAAAATGAAGAGTTCCTTCCAAATGATTGTGATGGCATCGTAGCTGGTGTTACAGGTATCGGGTTTTTGTCCATCATATCGATGACGTTCATTTCGTTCATGCTCTTCGCGTTCCGAAGCACTTTGTTGGCGTCTTCTCTCTTGTTCGTCCCGTTCTTTTTGTTCACGCTCCTTTTGTCGTCTCCCTTTTTCCCGCTTCTCACATTCATTCGCTCGTCGTTCCCATTCCTGTCGCAGTCGCTCACGTTCACGCTCCAACCGCTGTCTCTCTCTGTCCCTTTCTGCTTCCTGTCGTTCACGTTCGTCACGTTCCCTTTCTCGTTGTCGATCACAATCCGTTGGACTGTGATCGGGATAATACGGACCCGGTGTTGTGCTGGTCGTTGTTGATGCACTGGTTGTCACATCTGACCTTGGATTATCACCTTTTAGTTCATTTATCATTAGTTTTACGAAATTTATTTGTTCAAGTTTGCTACAGCAATTTGACATTTTTGACTCTTTTACGATTTTCTCGCTGAATACGCAATTTTTTTTTTCAAATTCCCCATTAAAGAATTAAGAGAAATGAATATCATAATAATAATATTTGAATTCCTCTTCATTTACCTTTTTGACATTCACATACGCACGATTCAGCAGATACATTTGCAAATGATACCATCGACAAAATCACCGTGGCAAAACAGACAACAACTTTAAAATTCATTTTGAGTAAGTGATTTCGTTTGATTTTTAAAATGATTCGTTCAATGTAACTTCGAAGTAAACACTGTAGATTTTATGGGCACGATTTGAGCTTTTATTAACCGATGTATGGAACACTTCAATCAAATAGTAAAATGATAATCTGAAAACGAAAACATTCTGCCATTTAAAACGTCAAATAAATCTCAAGGCTTATTTCTCAACTGAATCATCATAGTATAGCCTGAGGATTTGGCTTTTACACATTATTGTATACCAAAATGTATAACACATTTATTTTTGCTTTTTATTTATTTTTATCGAAATGTTTTTAACCCATTAATTGCCCGGATTCTTATTTTGTTTTCAAAAGACATCAAACTTTCAAATATTATCAATTTAGGTCTAAAAATAAGATTCCAAATACCAGATCGTCAAGATGAAATCTTATTTTTCCAAAACAAGCAAAAATGTACTGGTCGTTTTTTCGACCACT